TCACAGATTTGGAATTGATTTGGCTGATTTGACTTGGGAGACGAAAAATTTTCCTTAAAAAAAAAAGAAAAAAAGAAAGAAAAAAGGACAGCTCTGGGCCAGCCCCTGGCTGCTCAGGGATTTGTCCTCCCAGCCAGGGAGCTGTCCTTGAAGCAGGACAGCTCCTGGCAAGTCCCCAGCTATGCAAGGGGACTCCTGCTGGACACAGGGCTTGTCTCCATGTGCACAGGGTTGGGAGAGCTCTGCAGTGGCAGCTGTCTCCCAGTCCCATGCACATCAGGACCCCACACCAGGAGACAGATGCCACTGCAGCCAGCAGAGCTCTCCTGGCCCTGTACTCATTGGGACCATCCCCTGTGCTCCTTGCCAGCCTCTGGGCCAGCACCCTGGAGGAGCCTGGAGTTCCTCCTGGCTGCTGCAGGAGGCCAGAGCAGGTTAGGAGCAGTCCTGTACCGATCTGCACCCATTGGGAGCAGATTTGCTCCCAACAGGGAGCATGTGTACATGTGTTTGCAGGGAAGGCTTACTGCACAATATTTATAGTATTAATAGCACGTGTAGTATTAATGCATGCATAGTATTTATACCATTAATAGCACATGTAGATACTCCCTGTATATACTAATAAGTATACAATAACATGGCAAGAAATGCATAAATGCATTGCCTTTGCTAACAAGGTTCTTTGGGTGAATCTGATATCTTTTATTAGACCAACTAAATAGTTGGAGAACAATATTTAAGCAAGCTTTCAGGTTCAAAAAACCTTCATCAGGCTAAGGAAGTTTCAGCAGTTGATGTGTGCTCTTCCTGGATGGAATGAAAAGTAAAAAAGCCGGAGGTTAGGCTGGTATGCATACAAGACAGGCAGTCATTGAAAATGACTTTGCCTTTGCTAAAACACTCTGTTCACATTTTCTTTAGAAAAAATGTGATTTTAGTTGTGGTTAGTAGAGATGGTCAGGATTTTTCCATGGGAATGATATTCTCATGAAAAAAAATTGTTTTCAGCAAAACCAGAATTTTGCCCAGGAAAATTTCAGTTTGGCTAAAAATTTTCAATTTCCTGTTAGAAAATCATTATCAGAGCCATAATTCATCCACTTGGCAGTAGATGGCAGTCCAGGGCTTCCAGGCTTCCTAGCTCGCCCATAGCCCAGTAACCAGAAAACTGGAAAGTTTGTTGCATGTTAGAAACACTGACATATTCCTACTGTGAGAATATGACACCATTTCAGTTCTCAGAAAAAAAAAATCAAGTTTTTCACTTTCTATCCCAATTTGGAATTACATTTTTTCTGAAAAACTTAAATTCTTTTCACAACTGAAATTCCATGTCCTAGCAAGAATCATTCTGTGGCAATATTGTTTGTATTCCAGTAGCCACTACAGGATTCAACTGAGACCAGGGATCTGTTATGCTAGGCACTGTACAAACAAAAGTTGGGAAGAGAAGCAGAGGCATAGAGAGGTGAAAATGACCTGTCTAAAATCATAGAGAGTTTTAGCCAGTGGTATAGTTGGGAACACAACTCACATTTTTCAGTCCCTTCCCCATGAAACTGCACCACATGCTTACTTTGCCTTACTCTTCACTGCAACCTAGCATCCTATACTGTGGGAAAGTAACTAGAGATTTTTTTTATTCTGTCTCCTAGATTTCTATTGTCATTTGCACAGCTTTTATCATAGCCTGGTCACCATACGCTGTTATCTCCATGTGGTCTGCCTGTGGCTATCCTGTGCCCAATCTCACAGGCATCCTTGCCAGTCTTTTTGCTAAGTCTGCCAGCTTCTACAACCCCCTGATCTACTTTGGCATGAGCTCCAAGTTCCGGAAGGACATTTTCACCTTGTTGGGCTGCACCAAGGAAATCAAGGACCCGGTGAAGCTCAAGCGCTTCAAAAACCTCAAGCAGAAGCAAGAGCCATCTCAGAGACGAGAGAAATATGCTGCGGATGTCCAGCCAGTCCCAAGTCCTGATTCAGGGGTGGGGAGTCCAAGCCAGACCCCACCACTGGAAAACCGAGAAGCAAATTTTGGTACCTTAGATTCAACATCTAATAATAACCCTGATGTTGAATGTGACAGGCTATAAGTGCTGTGGCCCTTTAACGGGTGCACACATTCTGCATACAGAGAGAAGGAAAACACCTCACTGCTTGGGGGCAGCTCCCAATTTCCCACTCCATCTGGCCCTTACCATAGGTCTAATGACAACTCTTAACAGACCTGCAGTAACTTGAGATGTATGGTAATAACCAGATATAATTCTTAGTTACATGTAGATTATACAATACCATGCCACAAACGGCAGTGGTGGGCAGCCACAGGGATTTCGTTTCCTTCTGTAGCTACAGTAAGGCACACACAATTTCTCTATTTAGAAACATTGTTAGGTGGCAAAAATCATTAATATTTCATATCCAGTTCATAGTAATTAGGGAACTGCAGTTCTAAAAGCATATTTTCCCATCCCTTTTACCTGAAAATAGTTCCAGCTTTATCCTATTGCTCTGGCCCCACAGTGCTGCATTGGCTCAGTGGCTAGAAGGAAACGGCTCCCACCGCTGTTGCTGTAATGCTGCCTGGGGAGCTGGCCACTAGAGGGCATACAAAAACTACGTGCTTTCTACAGGAAACTAAAAGAATGTCACCTCCATGATGCTCCCAGACTACTCCAGGGCAGGGGAATGGGAATAAGAGTCCTAAAATCTCACTGCAACTGAATGTGCTTGCAGCCAAGTCAGTGAAGGCTAACAGACAACTTGCTTGTAATATTGGCATCTTCTGGTTTCTTGCTGTACTACAAACATTAGCTTCACACCTTTCCTTATTAGCCTGCTAAATTATAGGAATCTTTCTTGATTTGTCTGGTGAACAGAGCATGAGCATAACATTCAGACTTATAGAAACCGGCCTTAATTTTGTTCATGCATCTCCAAATTACTTTTTTGTTTAATTTGGCTATTATAGCTGAGTAAAAAATATTGCACAGGCAATGAAACTAGTTATTATGTTCTTCTCACAAAAGGTATAAATAAAATATGGTTTGAAAAACCATTTAAAAGACCACACCTTTATTGACTCAATAAAGAAAATCCCATTATAAATACAAGGGATACAAAATTAATAATTAGGTAGGCTACTGTATTAAGTTATAATTAGAGGCAGTATTTTAAAAAGCAAACACGGGTTTCTATCAGTGAGAAGGCTGTTGCATGCTATTGGCAAACTCTGCCTATTCTTTCAGGCAATTATAGAGAATGAAAATCAGCAGAGACATGTCTGTGTTTCCCATTGTTACTAGCTACCTCCTATTCAAAGACTTGCACAAAAAATAACTTATCTGTCAATCTGTGAATGCTTACAGTAAACACGTTTCCTTTGTAACATTTTATATTCACACATTCATTGGCATCTGACTGGTCCACATTAAACAAGAAAAAATAATTAGCAAGTTATGAATCTGTGGAATCGCTCAGTGTCCAAATATATTATAAAAATAAGTCTGTTTTGTAGAAGTATGTTTTTCCATATGTGTTTCTTGGGAAAATTACAGAAAAATAGCCCACCTTAATTTCCTCCAACAGTATATTTATTTTGAGATTTTTAATCTCTGATTTGTGTTTAAAAACAAATTTACTTTATAAGCAATAATAATGAACTAAGATGGCTTTCATGGCCACAGATCTGAACTGAAAGTGTATTCATTTTTGCGGAAAAGTTTTTAGATTTGGGCTTTTTTTTTTCTATTTTATTACCATAAATAATTAAAAGCAAATAGGGGAAGTGTTTGCTTCTTGAGAAAAATGCATGCCACAACTGCTGAAGCAAAGGCAACCAACAGCACATACAGCAAAACTCCACTCGTATTTGATGGACCCATGCAGGGAGAAGTGTAATGAGTGAAAGGCCCCATCCTAACAGCACACCAAAGACTCATACTATGCAATGTGCTGCTGCTTTGAAATTAAGCATCAAATGTTCCAGCTGTTGCATATTACTTTCTCAAGCAACCACATTAGCTGTTCTGTTGATGGGCCTGACATATCCCATTAGGACCCTCATGGGCACCCAATACCAGCCAGCCACCCAACCTGGCATCTTCCTAGTGGGTTGTTGGGTAGCAAACAGTTTTGCTCCACTGCATACCTGAGACTGAGAAAGAAGATGAATAGACCCTAGGTCCCTATATTCCTTTTCCCCGGTGCACTCACATGGTAAGAGCGAGCCCATCACATACAAAGGACTGATGTGGCAAATCATTGTCACTCTAAGTGACAGAGCCTTTCATATTCAAAAGTCAGTTACAGGAACATCTTCTGACTCCACTAACAAGAAAGCTGTATTTCAGGCTAGTACGTGTGCATTGGTAACCACTGTACAAAGCACACAAGCATTCACATGAACAAACAAACAGCAAAATTAAATGATAAAAGTGGGAAAAGGAATGCTGGAGAGGAGGCTGACAGAAAAGGAATGGAGAAGGGGAAGAAGTAAGGAGGAAAACAGGCAAGAGAAGCAGTGGCAGCAGCCAGCAGATGTGTTCTCAAAGTCTTGGCCAGGCTGCAATAGCAGCCACTCCTGCAAGTCTGTGTGAGGCATGTCATGAATGTACAAGGCTTCCATGGAATAAGACCGCCATATAGGGGAGTTGGGCAGATGGAAGGAGGGAGGGATGCCAATACAGGCACCACCCTGGGCTGCAGATTGGCAGCAGCAATGCTATGTTTGTCGCTGAAGAGTTGCCCAAACAAAAAGATTCCAGACCCAGATGCATTGAACAGAAGCAGCAATTCTCATCCTTGCAACTTCACACAGACCTCAGTGCATGACACAGTATGGAAAAAATGTTCAGAATTTGTGACCCTGCTACAGGGCATGCAACATGTACTTCATGACTTAAAATATGTGGATTAATAAAATTAAATTTAAAAAACACTTTCCACAAATCCAGCTTTGTGTGTGTGTGTGTGTGCGTGCGTGTGCGCACGTGCACTCTAGTTTCACTTCCCTGTCCTTTATTCTTTTTTTTCCTCCAGAAAAAGAAACACACTTATGACTAAAGCAGCAGCCAAGGACACAGAAGAACTAGACTTTATTTCTGGCTTAGCCGCAGACTTTCTATGAGATGCTGGGCAAGTTAAACGTGCCAGAAAGTTCAGGGCATTTGCAGCAATGTCTGTGTTCCTCACTCTATGGAAATATTGCTGGTTTTATTTTCACAACTCCTGCATGAGAAAGGAAAATATTATCTCCTTTTTTACATATGGAGAATTGTCACACAAAGGGCTAAATTTCCAAAAGTATTTAGGGGCACATATAATGAGAAATTAAAATATATCACTCTTTCAGTCTTGTTTGCCCAGCTGTGCAGGGTCAACTATAAGGGTGAGAGTGTCCCCGGTCAGACTATGTTAATAGCCTGGTGTTTAGGGTACTGTCATTGTAAGTAGGAGACCAGGAGTTGGCAACCTCCAGCATGTGTGGCATGTGAAGCTATTTTGCTTGGCATGCCACAGCTGGCTCAGGCTCTGAGTAGGCCCCTACTGCTAGTCACCAAGTGGCAGGGAGGCTGCAAGCAGCTGCACCAGGATCTGTGGAGCCCTGGCCTGGCTTATTGTTGGCAGCAGGTGTAAGCATGCCTTGAGGCAGACAGCAGGACTGCACTGCCACAAGAAGGACTGTGCCCCCCATGGATCCCCAGCCATCTGCCCCAAGGTGCACATGCCAAGCAAAATACCTTTGCATGCCACGTTTTAGCATGCATGCTAGGGGTGCCTACCCCTGTACTAGTCTATGGCAATGGACTAAAATGGCTTAG